TGGGACAAGAATCCTTCATTCCCGATGGTTAGATATTTCAGTTCATTTCAGGAAATTGTCTACAATTAGCATTTCTAGTAAATGTGGATTTTTAAAAGTAGTTTTGATGCCTTTGAAATGTGCTGCTGTATTTGGAGTGGCAGCTATACAATAATAATATTACACCAGTGCTTGGCATTGGTTTTAGTGCTTTATATAAATCCACTCAATCCTTAGAATGGCCCCATGAAGTGAAGTACTGCTATCATTCTCATTTTATCATTGACAAAACTAAAGAACAGAGGCGTTGTAAAACTTTCCCAAAGTCACACAGCAGTAATTAGCGAGCTAAGATTTGAACCCAGGTACCTGGTTTGACTTCAGAATTCATGCTCTTGCCTATTATGAATATACTGCTTTAATACTAATTTAAGTCATATGACTAGTGGTTATTTAGAAATTTAATTGAAAATATGTTGACTGTCTTAAGAGCCTGAGTTTTTAGCATTTACCAATAGCAGGGCTTCCAAATTTGAACGCTGAGAATTGGTTGCTCTTTATTTCTTGACACTGCTGTAATTGTTGAGACAGGGACTTTCTTGGGTAGAGAAGACTGGAGGATTGATAGATATTACCCCATTGAGAACTAAGAAGCATCTTAAATTTTACTGTACTTGCATGGTAACAACTTAGTTTGCCATAGATTCATGGATGCTGGCAGAGGACACACAATTCCTGGGTCAGAGGCAAAGGAAAGTTCATTAATCATAGCAACGGCAGTAACTAGAGTATCAGCATTTACACTTGTTTCCTGAGCTCATTTCCAGAGGGTGGTGCAAAATGCACTTGAAGAGCACATCTGAGCTAAGGGAACCCAAGTCTTGCATAATGGGAGGTAGTGTGTCTGTCCTTTGCCCTGGAGGGGGACATTACTATACTGGACTGTAAGCAAAGCTGCCTTTGTTTTGGAAGACACTATCTGGAGACACTCGATCTTCTGAAGCTGTTTATTCCAAAAACATCCTTGAAAAAGTAGATCAGAAGGAAGGCAGTTTAAGGGTCTCTTATATTTCTTCTCATCTTGAGAGTATGAATTGTCTCCCATGAGGTCCCTGTACTCCCAAGAATCTAGAGATTGAGTGTGTGGATAGGAAGAACAGATATGAGACACTATCATACTAATTTATGGGGATTGCATCATTTAGACTGAAATATAAAGGATCTCTTGAGGGACGCATCATTGCGAGCTAGGGTGGGTATAGACATTTTCTTAGATGAGGAGAGAATTTACTAAGTCAGAATAAACTGGAGAGTGAATAAAAAGAACATTGTATGTTGTGTCACAGCTGAGGCCAGGTACTTAATCATACAGAACATTGGACTTGGGGTCAGACCTGGGTTTCAATTGTGGTTCAGTTGTTTATTACTTATATGCCCTGGCAACCTCTTTGAAACTTCTGGTTGTTTATTAAATGGTTTATTTCCTTTTTCTACAGGGTATGAATATTTATTAGCTGCAGATTTAGTGATCAGAATTTTCATGAATATCATAGTGAAGAATGGCAACACATTTGCTTGTCTACATCATTGATGGAGAGTTGAGAAAATTAGTTGGATTTTCTTTGTATTGAGAAAAGTTGGTGATATGGTGACAACTTACCTAGATTCTTTGAATAATTTTTTATTCCTTCTATCTTTACCATCAAACACAGGTGCATAATATTCCTTCTTCAGGAAGTTTTCTTTGCTTACCCTAGCCCACACTGACTTTTCTCTCTCTGATCATATCACCATTGCTCTCAATCCATCAATTGTATCTGTTGTCCAAGGGTGCAGTTCTGACTCTATAACACTGTTCACATGGCCTCTCGGACCTGGCCAAGATCTGCCCCTTAAACCCTACTAACCAGCCATACCGAAAGTACTGTTGTTTTACACACCACCTCCCCTCTCTCCCCCCCTGCCCCCTGATTTTTCATGCTTTTGCTCAGACTGCTCCCTCTCTCTGGATAGCTATCTTACCTACTTCTCATTAATTCATTCCTATTCAATATTTATGAATCAGCTCTAGAATTATCTCATCCTCCCTTAAAAATAAAAAAAACTATAATTATCCTATATTAATTTCTTTTCCTCTCTCCCTCCTTTTCTCTCTCCCTCCCTCTTTATTTCTCTCCTTCTTATCCATCCACCCATTCATCCATCCATGTATCATCTGTTACTTTTCTATATTTTGCTGTATTTACTCCCACTGTAAAGTTTGTATACCTGTCTCTTAGATTGTGGGATTTTAAAGAGTGACCAATAGGTCCTCAGTGGATATTTTTCCAACAAGTAAATGAAAACAATTGAATGATTTTGTGAACAAATGAATAAATGCTTTGGAACCAACAAACAGACCTCTAAGTCCACTCCTTCATGGTGAGTTCAGTTAATCATGACCTTATAGCTTTTATAGTAAGAGAGAGAGACTTGAATAGGAAGGTGAAAGGCAGGGCTGGTTCCAGGCACAACCTATCTTCTCCAGCTCTTCCTTAACTTCTCATCCCTTACTCCTCCCATCCTGATCACTTATCTGTTTCTCATAGGGGCTTAGTCAAAGCTAAAAACCAGGATTAGAAGGAGTTCGGGGAACTAATCCTCATTGAATATAAATGTCCCTTTATCTAAGAGCATCCCCTCCCACCCCCGCCCCCCGCCAGAGGCCTCATAAAGAACCAAGAGCCTTTAGACTTCCTCCCCTGAAAGAATCCTGAAGGCTAAATTCCAGGCAGTGGGCCAGAGAAGAACATAGTGTCTTCACATTGTAGCTCCACCCACCTTCTGGTCTGGTCACAGGAATGAAAGTGGCACTCTGCTGTCTCTTATTGCCATCTAGCTTTTTAGGGCTCCAATGAAGGAAAAGAATCCATACATGTAAGCCTAGCACCAATTTTGAGGAAACAAGTCTCATCAGGGAAGGCTATTGACAAATTCATTCTTAGTTGCACTCTGGGGCCCAGTTTTGACAAATCTGAAGACAGGGAGAACGTGAGGTGTGACCACCACCCCTTTCTCAGGTATGCAGTGCACATGAAGGCCCTATGGGCATTTCTCACTCATGTCTGTGAATTCTCAAGAGACATGCAATTCAGTGAATTGGTGGGTCTGAGTTGGGAATGACCTTGAGATAGATGACAGAGGAGCAGAAAGCTATTTCTCTGTGTCTGAGTTCTAGGAGAGAGACTCTGACCTTGGGGACTTCCCTGAAGAAGTCAGGATAACTTGTTGCATATTCCAGCCCTTTGCACTATTTCTGTTCTTAGGGAGGTGTCTATGTATGCCCATGTGCACATTTGTGTGTATGTGTTCGTATGTTACAGAAAAGACCAGAATTGGGGGGTTTGGTTATCTCGGATTCAGATCTTATACTAGCTGAGTGACCTGTGCAACTACCTCCATCTTCAGTTTCCCCATCAGTACCGTGAAGTGGGGATGACAAAATCCACCCGTTTTGGTTATCATGAGGGTTACATTAAACAAATATGAAGACCATTTGACACAGAACTTAGCAAATAGCAGCTACTCAGTAAATCATACTATATTGTTACTATAGAAATAGGCTGCATTTATTTAATTGTTTATTAACTTACTAGCATGCCACCTAATCCACACCCCAAAATTGGGGTAGCTTACCGAGAGTTCAAAGGGATTATTTCACCAACATGTTCCAAGCCCAGCTAACAACTTTGATCAGGACTTTGTGAATGAGAGATAAGAGAAATAGGAAGATAAGAATAATTAGATGAGAAAACGGTGGCAAATGTAAAATAAATTGGAAAATATACATAGCTATACACTTAAAAATATATATTTTTAGTATAGCTTGGATCAGTGTTAGAGTTTACAAAGATAAATCTACCCAACACGACAGAATTAAAATTAATGGCAATATTTGCATTCATGCTCTAACTGCATCCCCAAAGGACTTTAACTGATAAATTTAAAACAAACAAATGCCATAAAGTTAATAAGAATAATAAGGAACAAAAATGAGTTAGCAGGAGGGAAATTGAATAGAGTTGAGATGTGAAATGTGTGGTTCTGTGCCCATTGAGTAGCCCCGGAATTTGTCAGCACTCCATCTCACATGCATGAATGCCAACAAGGGCAAACTTGAGACCTTGAGCCTGGCTTTCGGGAATCTTCTGTCTTCCCCTGCTTTGCTTCTACTCAGATCCTCTTCTGCGCCTGCCCTGACTCTGCATAGTGGTTTCTCTTTGCAGCTCTGTTTCTGCCCAAGGCATATGCACCGAACCCTGTCCCTCCAGCTTGACTTTAGCAAAGCATCTCACAGGACTTTGGCTCAGGACCCCTTGAGTACTTTGCTCCTGGCTGCCCCATCTTGGGTTTGTGGGAATCCAAATCCCCATGTGAACAGGTGCTGTCTGGGAGAAATGGACATACTACACTAACTGTGGGGCCCCCATCCACATTGATTGACTACCTTGTCTGGTTGTTTCATTTGCTTAAGCGTCTGTGTCACCCACTTGGCTGCCTTCAGGGTGGAGCCTGACCTCGGGGCCTTCTGCTTCTCCTAACTGTGTTTCAGGCCTTGAATTTCTTTAAGCACAGCTGGTGGTTTCCGTAAGTCACTGGCTGACTTGTCAATTTGCTAATAGGATGCTGTGCAAACATACTCAGGGAAAGCATTCTCAGATTTCTGCTAAATAAAATATTTAGACACAAGAGGCCGTGCTTCTTGGCTGCAAAACAACAGTGACATCAATAGCATGAGCAACAATAACAATAATATCATGTTCAATTTTTGAACGCTTCTGTGCCAGGCATTGTGCTAGATATGTTACAATAAATCTCACAGAATCCCTTTAGTACAGGGTAATTTTTTATCTCTGAAGGGAACAAACTCAGGTACAGGGAGATTAGAGGAATTTTCCCCAAATCAAGTAAGTATTCAATTTTAAACCATATTCAAAACTTTCTTCCTGACCCCATACCATTGTATCTTCTGGTTCACCCAGCAGCTTCCATGGTAGCCAAAGGACAGCTGCTTGGAAAAACTGGGTGCTCTCATTTTGGGGGTCTCTGTGTGGCAGATGCTTCAACTTCTCAACACTCTACCTCCAGATAGCTATTGAGGTAAGTGCTCATTCAAAATGAAAGCTTTTGCTGCAATACTAGTCATAATTCATAGCAATTTATAGGACAACTAGCATTTACCAAAGGTCCCTCACTTGTTGGCCATTGGGGACAAGCCTTGTATTCTTTGACTCATTTAATATTTGTGACATCCACATGAAATAGATAGATTTCATTTATTCCCATATTAAAGATGAGAAAACCAAGACCCAGACAGATGAAATAATTTTCCCAAAACATGTATCTTGGAAGTAGTACCAGTCTCAACTGACCCCAAGCCAGGCTCGTCCTATAGGTTCAGTTCTTGGAGAAAGGACAGCTCCTGGTATCTGTTAGCTGAGCAGGACATTCCCAGGATCCTGAGCCAAAGAGCCAGCAGAGGGACAGTGACTGCCAATGTTCACAGTCGTTGGGCCAGAGAATCTGAGACCTCTACTCTCCGTCCTCACCTGGCTGGGGTGGGTGGATATTTTGACCATGTGAGTCTTCCATGCCTTTTTTTTTTTTTTTGGTATAGTAATGGAAGCAAAGCAGATGACCCTCAGACATGAATGACACTCAAACTGACTCATAATGAGAGAGATCAAAATTAAAAGATCACAAGGTGCCCTATCTCTCCATCAGATTTGCAAAGATTAAAAAGTTTAACACATCGTGTTGACAAATCTGTGGGAGAAGAGGTACTATTGTCATTGCTGGTGGGACTGCAAATAGGTACAACCCACCTGGGGAGGAATCTGGTAACACTTGATGGAACCACATGTGCATGTAGGTTTTGATCCAACAATCTCTTCCAGGAATCTACCCTGAAGGCATATCTTAGCCAAATGAAAACACAAACACACACGCAGCATTCTAGGCACAGCAGCATTGTTTGCAATGGCAAAATACAGGTCTGTGGTTTAGCTACTAGCATTGCACCAATATTAATTTCCTGGGTTGATCATTTTATAATTTTACTCTGGTTATATAAGAGGTGAACAGTATGGCAAGCTGGGTGAAGTCTAAAATTGCACCAAAATAAAAAGTTAAAACAACAACAAGGAAGCAAATTTCTCAGCACCTTCTGTGGGGCATGAGGTTGGGGCTGGACCAGCCCTGAGGGGCTGGAGCTGTCCACGTGCCCCCTGCGCAGGTCCTGGAAGAAGGGGCTGGAGATGATCTTACAGGTGGATGGTCCGGTCACACGCACGAGAAAAGAGAGTGGAGGGATGCAGACTGTCATCAGTCACATCCTCGCTGAGACTGCGAGGAGAGTTACAGTCCCGAGGAAGGAGAACTGAGCACAGCACCCCTGCCCAGACCGCTGCTGTCTACTGTTCAAATTAAGTGAGTGGAGCATGTTCTTGGGAACAGTTCCGTTGTTTTAAAGCCTCCTCTCATATGTGTGAGAGACTTACTGTCCTTTCCCCGCATCGGGTTATTTGTATTGTATATTCAAATACCTGGAACTATTAAGAGCAGATGCAACCCTCTGCCTGTGAGACATTTTCAGTGCTACAAATAAAAAAGCTATGAAGTGCTTAAGATGGGCACTCAGTTCTCTCTCCCGAAGGACTTACTCAAAATTGCAGCGCTTTTACTTTTAAAAGATTGGAAAGGTGACAAATGAATCAGCATCCCTAAGATGACTTGGGTGTCTCCTAATCTTTTTAAAAATCATTTCTAATTTATGCTTTATAGTGAAATAGAGATTAGCTGCTTTTTATTTGCTGCTTTGAATTATGTTGCCAGAGCTTGGCTTAGGGCTTCAGTGATACCCCATCAAAATATTAAACCCTCACTCCTGTGGAGGTGGAGTAAACTGATGTGTGTGGGGGGAATGTCGCCTAATTTGTGTTCAGGATGCTGCCAGAGGCAGGGAGGGCCCAGCCCCCGCCCATCATGGCGTCCCTCCTTTCTGTGCCGGGTGCACCTCCACAGGGCTTCCTACCTTGAGCAACTGTATGCGCCTGATACCATGTGGAAGCTAAAATGTCATCTACTCACCCCAGTAACCCTGCTAAGGCTCATAGAGGTTAAATACTTTCCTGAAGGTCACAACGCTAGTAGACAGTGGAGCTGGGGTTTCAGCCTGTCTGACCCCAAGTCTAGAGCTTTTTTCACTCAGCGCACTATCCAGCAGAGGGGACAACTTGGACAACTCTGCCACCGAGCCGGCCTGGCTGTGCCGGAGCATATGCGTAAAAATAATGGGGTGCCTTTGTGTTAGTGTGGGCCCTTCATCTCTGTTCTAAAATTCAGTGTCTCTCTGTTGTTCTCACTCAGGCTCCATAATGTTTTCCTGTGCACAGAAGTCATGTGGATGGAACCCTGGTTTGCCGGTTCTGCGACAATTGGTCTTGGCAGGAGGTCTCAGGACAAACTTGGCCTCACCCCCCTGACCTTTAGGACTCATGCCCCTGACACACCTGCTGTGAAATGCGGAGGGCTTCCTTCCCCTCCTCTTTTTCTTTTTTTTTTGAGGGAAAGTTCCATTTGTGTTTTGGAAAGAGCACAGACTCAGTCTCCCAGCATGTCCATTCTGTCCCAGCACTGTGTTTCCCTGGATAAATGAACTCACCTCTTCATACCTCAGTCTTATTTTCTGTGAAGTGGGGATGCCATTACTTTCTACAGAATTATTGTCCACATTTAATGACATAACAGAAAAAGCACTTGTACGTAGCAGGCATTGAATAAATGTTATTATTTTGACAAGCCCTACTAATTCTCAATATAGCATTTCCCTCATTATTTCCCTCCACAGCGCTCAGGCTATTATCAACACAGAAGAATGAAGTTGCAAAGCAGGCTGCCTCTCAGAATTACTTGTATTTCTAGAGGACAGAAAATGGGCCAAGGAGGAAATGGAAGGGATCCCAGGCTTTTGTGTGGGTTTTATTTGTATGCAAAAGCAAGCAAGTCTTCTTTGTTCTGAAGATGAATTTCATTCTAATGGTGCCAGTGAATCTTTTAAAATTTCATAATTGCCATTCCTAGCATGCTCCAAATGGAAGATAACAAGAATTAGGTGGCCGGTTCAGATTGGATCTGGAGCTGGATGTGCATTTGAAAATGTTTCAGCTGCTCCCTGAGTTATCCCAGCCCACCGAGACCTGCAGCTGAGCTAGATCCTGGAGTGGGCAACACCAGCCCTGCCCACCCACTGGTGGTACTGGGGAGGGTGGGATGGAGCATGTCAGGGCCAAGGGGGGTTGAACTGAGTGTCCTGCCCAATCCCTTGCTCTGCCTTTTGTTACAACTACATGCAAATGTGTGGAGCACTTTACAACTTGCAAAGCATTTTTTATATTTGTTATCTCCTGTAATTCTCTAAAAAATCCTCAAGAATAGATATGACCAAGATTATTATCCCATTTTATAGATGAGGAAACTGAGGATCAGAGAGATGGTGGCTGAGCCTGGATTGGAATTCACAAAGTCTTAGTAGGTAGGCTCCAATAGTATCACTTATTTGCAAGAGCCAGGCCTGATTCTAGAGGGAGAAATCAGAAATGAGATTTAAACAAAGAAGATGAAAGTAATCACAGATTAGTTCTGTCCATAAACCAGTATTTGGTTCAACGTGACACACCATGGGAAACTGGCAGTGGTGTGATGGGCTATACCCATGGCGGAGTTGTTTATTTGGTATGACCACCCTCCAAGGAGTTTGCATCTATATATATAAAAGCCAAAGTGACCATATGACTGGACGACCAGACGACTGGCCAATCGGCCAGTAGCTATGATGCGTACTGAACACCAGGGGGCAGATGCTCAATGCAGAAGCTGCCCCCTGGTGGTCAGTGTGCTCCCACAGCCAACTTCCTGTGGCTGGCCAACCTCCTGCGGTCCCTCCCCCCGGCTGGCCAGCCCTGATCAGCCCCTGTCCCCAACCAGTGGATCCCGTTTGGCCCCGATCTGGACTGGGCGAAACAGCCCCCATTGGCCCCGATCACTGGCCAGCCCAAGGGACCCCACCTGTGCACGAATTTGCTCACTGGGCCTCTAGTATATATATCTTTCTTTTTAAAGATGGTCCTGGTTTGACATACTTTATGAAACAGTGATAACGGTGGACAGTGGTTTGGAAGACTTTATTTTGCTTGTGGAATTGAGACAGAGGAGGAGCTCAGAGGGAGTACAGTGTTGACAATTGGCTATACTTGGGGCTGACTTTCTTCTTTTTTTTAACAATTGATTTTTGAGAGAGAGAGAAAGAGAGAGAGAGAGAGAGAGAGAGAGAGAGAGAGAGAGAGAGACATCAATGTGAGAGAGAAAATTGATTGGTTGCCTCTGGGGATTGACCTGCAACCTAGGTATGTGCCCTAGGTATGGCTTTGACTTTCTAACCTGTTGTCACACCTTTGCCTCTGTTAATCCATTGCTGAGCGATGCTTGGGGAATGAGGCTTCCTTAGAATCAAAGTATGTACCCTCTTTCCCCAACTTCCCCTTCCCCTTATGTTGTCTTTTCTCTGCCCCAGCATCTCTCTCTGCTAGCGAGCTACCCAAGAACTTGCTCTTCCAAGCCAGGATGTCATGGGTCCCAGATATCAGCAGCTGAGGGTCCAGGTGCCCAAGGCCATTGGCAGCAGGGACACTTTCACCAATGGGGATGTAATTGCATGAATATACACTAACTTTAGTTCCAAATAGGCTCCAAAGACATCTGGCTCATTAAGGAAAAGAGTATTTATGTTTGAGTGATTATTGCTAAAAAGGCGCAGGCATGTTGTGTGATCAGTTAATTGAAAATTACTTCCTGTTCTGAGTTGGCTGCTGCTCATCACCAGCGAATGACGATGCATTTGACAAATGTCTTATGAATATTGGGTCCCAGCTCAGCTCTAAATATTTAAAGCAGCCTGGCTGGTATGGCTCAGTGTTTGAACGTCGAACTATGAACCAGGAGGTCATGGTTCAATTCCCAGTCGGGACACATGCCCAGGTTGCGAGCTCGATCCCCAATGTGAAGGGGGGGAGTGGAGGAGGCAGCCAATCAGTGATTCTCTTCATTGATGTTTTTCTCTCTCTCTCTCCCTCTCCCTTCCTCTCTGAAATCAATAAAAATATATTAAAAATAAATAAATATTTAAAGCAGCCTGTTCTCTATTTGACACACCTCGAAGTGAGTTTTTGAAGGTAGTACGTTTTGTTCCCTATTAAAACAACCCCAGCTCTTCTAAGTGTTGAGTAAAAGGCTAGAGTAGTAGGTCTGGGCTGCATCTGGCCATTGGAGCCACGAGGGTTATTTATTTGTAAATCCTCTGAGGAGAATCCAGTAGGGGCATTGCTCACTCTTCTGTTTCTCCTGGGAATTCTCTCTTGTAAAGACTGAGCAGGGCTTTTTCTTGAAAGAAAAACTTATGTTTGCAAAGGTCCTTGGTGCCATTGAGATAGAGGACAAAAGGATTCTTGACAGAATCACAGAGGAGAAATGGCCTAAACCCAGTTTCCTGGTCAGGTGTCCTCTTCCCTTTAGGAGAGTGTGTCCACTGAAAGCCCTCTGCTGTTGCTGATGTCATGTGGATGATCCTCAGTGGATGTTTTTCTAGTGTGTGAATCAGGTTGGGTGAATGCCCTTACATGCCACAGTGGGGACTGGACTTTTTGAGAGCAGTGCTATTCAAAGTTCTGTGATGATGTAAGAAGCTTGTGGCAGAATATAAATCATAATGCTTCTTTCGTGGAGAATGTCTTGCTATTAAAAAATGTCAGCTGAACTAAATAGCAAGCAAATGATGTAGTTGATTCACATTCTGGCACGACTTCCTTATTTTATCATGTCCAGAAACCTGATCACTCATCTGAAATCCGCACTTTAAGTGGCTCTGCCTTAGATAAATTATGCTGCTTGCTGTGGACCATGGGTTTGAATGGTGTATATTCAGGACAAGGAGACCAGGTGGAAAAATGGGGAAGTAATTCTAGAGAAAGATGGTGAAGGCCTTGTTTAGACAAGAGCAGTGGTGACACTGATGTACAAGATGGAATAGATTTCAGAAATATTCAGTATATAGGAACAAGGTGTGGTATAAACAGTGAGAAAGAGAAAGATTTTTTTTTAAAAGAGTTCTAAGCATTTAGATCAAGTATCTGGGTAGATGGTGGTGCCATCAACCGAAGAAGAGTCCGTACATGAACTTAGGGGAGGAGTTTAAAGAATCAACTTTCAGTGCTGTTGAATGTGAAGTGGCCAAGAGACACCCAGGCAGCTATGATGAGCAGCCAGTGGAAGCTAATTGCCTAGATCTGGGGAAAGAGCTCTGGGATGGAAGTTCAAATCTGAGAGTCATTATCATAGGTGGTATAGAAAATGGGAATGCAATTCTACAGAATGCGAAAACCAGTGGTCCGGGATGAAACCCTGGGAGACAAAGAAGATCTCATGAGACGGACCTGATGCTACAGGAGAGTGAGAGGGCAGAGAGGTTTTAGAAGTGCTGAGGCAACAAAAGCTTCAGGGAGGGCCAGTAAAAGGTCGCTGACAGTGTTTGCACTGGAACTGCCAATCAGGATATCTTTGGTGGAGTCTTGGTAGGGAAGTGGTGGGGCAGATGCAACCACGTAGCAGATTTTTAAGGGACTCTCAAACCATCAAGAGAACCAGGCAAGTCCCTTTTCCTCTTGGGTCTTGTTTCCACCTCTGAAAGCTGGAAGCCAGGCTAGATGAGCTCTAAGATGCTTTTGGCTCTGACCTTCTATCATAATAGATACGGTTTTGAACACCACATGTGTGGTGGACACGTAATTTCTGTAAAATGTGTGCAAGATATTGGCATGCCACTTTTCTTGAGGCTGAGAGAGCATACGTGTCATGCTGAGGGTCATACAGGCAATGACTTTCTGGACTGATAATTGAAAACTACATTTGTCAAACAACAAACCCATGTCCTTTCCCCTATCCTGTGCTACACAATGATTTTAGGGGAGATAAGGCACCAGGAAGAATGTAAATTGAATTTGGGTGGTAGATCATCTATAAAATCTATCCTGGTTATGTTTCACAGGTATTTACTTTAATAAAAGGCAGCATGTTCCTTTGGAGGGACATAAACAAAATTCAACATGAGCTTTGAATTAGTCTGATAATAGGTATATAAAAAAGACCAGGCTGACCAGCAAGTGCCATGGAAATTGGGAACTTTTATATAGTCAGAAAAAAAATCTGTACTAGCATAACAATTTACAGAGACAATGCATATTTTAGTTACAAACTCTCTGAAGATGAGCCTAGTAGTTGAGAGTTATAGAGACTCCTGAGGACATAATTCTCCTTCAGTGCAGATAAGCAGTTATCTGAAGCTAGTTATCTAATATAAGAAGAGAAGGGCTCATGCTTTCTCAAGGTGTCTTCCTTTGAGTATGTTTTAGGAATGATTATTTTCAAAGTTAGCCAGTTTATCGGGGGAATGGTCTACGTCTACCCAGAGAAAAAAGGAGAAAATATTTTTATAATATAACATCTTTAAAGAACCAATGGTGTTATTGGGCCTTCCAGAACCTGGTGAATAGGTATAGCCAAGGTGTTCAGAAGCCCTCTGCTCTAGGTATTCAGACTTTTCTATGTACTTTTCTGGAGTGGACACCCTCATCTGGTAGTCTTGCAATATTTTTGTAGACCTCCAAATAATTCTTTCAGAGGTAGCCCAAGTTATAGAGAGTTTTAGATATTATCCAATCCACATATTCCATCTTATAGTCAAATA